CCACCAGGGAGGGCCCGACTTTTACTTATTTTTAAGTGGGAGAACTAATACTTTTGAATAATGAAAGCAATAATCTTGTTGAGAGGAGGGAATTAATGATGCAGGAGGAAAGGTCAAAGGCAGTCATTTTGGAAATCCAAAGGATATATTTAGTTCAGAAGTGAAGAGCTTGGCCCTAGGTAGAAGTAAAGCCAATTCACCTACAGTTACAGGAAACAAGGCAAAACAACTGACCAGAAATGAAGGTAGGTATCTAGAGGTAGTTGTGGACATTTTTGGAACTTCTTCCCTATTTCAATTTCTCAGTGAAATAACAAAATGAGAAGCAGATGAGAGATGAGATGTTGGCTGTTTTAGAAGAGAGGGCAGCATCTGAAAGGACAGAAGGATCAATGAGCTAATGAGATAGTGTTGGTTTGCTGGGCACTACCTAGGTTCACTTGATTAGTGGTCATGAATTTAGGGCCATACCCACTAATGTTTGTGTTTTTATTTTTCTTAAGCACATTGAGTTGCACTAAGACACCACTGTTCTTGACTTAAATAGTGACTTGAATCACTGTTAAGGTTTTGACAAGTGACTAAAATGAAACAAAAAGGGGGTAAAGGAATTGAGTGTATGCAAACACATAATTGTAATGACTGACCATGGAATTCGACCTCTGTAAGAAAGAATGGAAGGACTTGAAGAGTTGAGGCATATAAAAAGATAACTGGTTCTATGGATTTGGATACTAATGTGTTTAAAGAGAATGGGAAGAGAGGTATTTGACACAGAGTATTGACAATTCTATAAAATTTGCACTAAACCACAGCAGAAAAATGTGATATTAGTAATTTATGGATATCGGAACAAAGGGGAGTTTTCTGAGGTGAGAGGAATTATGATGAATTTGCATCACGTTGGGAATGACTGTGAATAAGAGTTGGATAGTTTTGGAAGAGTGAGATGCATGAAATTATGTATAGGTTGCAGTTGTAGATGATGACACATCTGAGGTATGCCAATGGAATGAGTGCTTCAGGTAGGGTAGAGGACAACAGAGGAGATCCAGGGTCTAAGAACCCAGGATTATTAGAAAAGTCATCCATAGGTGATGCTAAAATGCTTGTGTACTCTCAGAAATAGTGTTGGAATGACATTGAGACACTTTTCCACCCATACTGACTTTCCACTGGATCAATCCCAATGTGATGCAAATTCATCATAATTCCTCTCACCTCAGAAAACTCCCCTTTGTTCCGATATCCATTAATTATTACTATCTCATTTTTCTGCGGTGGTTTAGTGCAAATTTTATAGAATTGTCAATACTCTGTGTCAAATACCTCTCTTCCCATTCTGTCTTTAATTGTTTCCAAATAGACTTTCAATCCTCTACTCCATGGTAGAAAGAAACTCCAGCATCTATGAAATCAACCAACCCAGAATTAATCTGATTCAGGAGGGTGCTATGGACAGATAATTTTATTGAACCAAATCTGCTTTTCCCCTCTGCTTAGACAAAGCTTGTTTTCACTATTTCTACTATTTTCATAATAAAAATGGGAATAATTGACTAGTTTTTACTTTTAAACCATAATGCATATTTAGATTAAACGAGTTTATATAAGATTATATAATCTTAAAACAACATGCTACTTTTCTTTCACAAATAATTGACTAAATAATTGTGGCAATTGAGGACAAATGATTATTCACTGTAATATGAATAAATAAAAATATTTTTGTTGTAAAGATTTATTTATTTATTCATACAGAACTGGGGTACAGGCCAGAGATGTGGAGGGTGAGAGGATTCACCAGAGACAGAGTGGGGAGCAGAACAGGCAGATCGACGAAGTCCACTGCTGAGGGGAGCAGCGGGCGGGCCAGGAGAGGTCTGCCACGCCATGTGGTCACCTCCGGGACAGGCGGGGATTGAACTCATGCGGAAGTGGCCCCGACTTCTTAGTGCTGTGCTTTAACCCGCTGCGCCACCAGGGAGGGCCAAAATAAAAATATTTTAATAAATATTTTCCTTCATTTTAGGGATGAGAAATTATTTTAAGCTCCAGGAGGGGAATTAATGTGATTATTAACATAAGTTCACAGATTTAAATTTTCATTGGTCCAAGTAATTCTGCATGATGATTCAAGTGTGCCTATCATGGGTCAGTACTTCTTAGTCTCCATTCATCAGAGGTGAAATTCCACACATGGTTAAAGAGAGGTTTTCTTCTCACAACTTTGTGATGGTACTTTAACTTCACATTAAGTTATTACTCAGCAGAGGCCAATGTTTGCCTCATTTTTGTTTACTTGTCTGTTTCTTGACAAGTAAACTGCCCTTAGGTTCAAGCTGTGTTCTCATTATATGTTAACTATTATTCTCTCTAAACTGTTATATATGTTTATGTTATATATGTTAACTATTATTCTCCCTAAACTGTGTATCTTTCTCTAATATATATCTATTATCTTAGTTGCACTGCCTTTCTGTGCTTCAGAAATGTTCACCTTATGACCAGGGAATGTGCATAACCCTCATGCAGTTTGTACAATACACAAAAGTTACTGGCAGGGAGGCTCTTTCCTTAGAGTAATCACTGGAGAAAGGAAAGACTTTTTAATTTAATTTTGTCAACTAGAGGATTGCATTTTCCTCATTTACATAAAACACCATACAGGTTACTAGCAATCAGCTTATGAAACTTGTTGAAAGGAAGACCCTTCTTTAAAGGATAGAAATATAAAGAACAAAGACTTCTTCAGAGTCCTTTGCAACTGGTCATTAGACATATGATTTAGGGCTCACCAATTAGGTGTATCTGCCCTTGATTTTGAACTGGAAATGGGATAACAGACTTTTTTTTTCTCGTTCCTAGAAGCAGTGGCTGCCTTAATGTCCAGAGCTGGAGATATTTTAATGAGACCATTGGGGGCCATCTTGACAAATTCCAAAGAGTGATTTTAGCTCTCACTGTCTCTTCACACTTGCCCACCTTAGTACTCCAGTCTTCCTGGTATTTCATTGAATGCTAAATAACTCCAATAAATTATCTTTTTGCTTAAATTACTTAAAGTTCATGTATGAACTACTCAAACATTTGTTAACCAGTAATTCCATGCCTGTGAAATAGGAATCATACAATATTAAGTATCTACAAAAGTTCTATAAGAGTGTTCTATTGAACTTTTTTCATAATGAGCCTAAATTATAAACGACCCAAAGCCCCATCAACATTTGGTGAATAGAAAATTATAGTATCTCCAAACAATGGAATAATACTCATCAATAAAAAGATGCCTCTACAAACACATCAAAAGTGTTATGTGAGTGAAGGAAGCCTGACACGAAGCTATACAGAATATACGATTCCATTCTAAAAACTCTAGAAAAAATAAATCTATAGTTACAGAAAGCAACTCAGTGGACCAGGGTTGGGGTGGGATTGGGAACTAACTTCAAAGTGCTGCATGGGACGTTTCTGTGGTGCTGGAGTTGTTCACTTTCTTGATTGTGGTAGTGGTTATATGGGCAAAAACATTGTTAAATCAAAACATCAAATGGTACACTTAAGAAGGTACAGAAAAGAAATAAAGAGCAAACTATACACTTAATATGAATGCAATACATTAAATGTAAATAATATCTCGATAAAGTTGATTTAAAAAATTCAAAGAAAGTGGACCAATCAAATTTTATAATGCATAAAACAGGGTAGTTTGGGGGGGAATAAAATAAATAAGCTGATAGCCAGTCTCTAATACACTATGATGTAAATCAATCAGATATAGATTTATTTTTCATTGTCAAATTATGTAATCTTATACTCTGATCAAAGTTTAGATTCCTGACAGAGAAAGTGAGACTAGCTTAGGTCAGGTGCCCATTCCTGGGGAAGAAAAAGCGGAGCCATCTTGACTCCCCACTCATACAGCAATGATGTGGCAGGGGTGATTCCATAAAGAAAATTGGGATACTGTTAACCAGAAATAGAAGCGGTGATGCTTGGTAAACAAACAACCACATATACAAAAACAGTCTCCCCTCTGTGTTTTTGGAGGTGACCAAGGAAGATGGTGATGGGCTTCAAACATAAACGTTCATTCATTCTATTCATCCAGTCATGAAAACATAATTTTGATTATGAATGACTTGCAGGAACTGTTGCTGACTGGTATCTCATCTCTAAAACGAAAAAGTTCATATTAATGTAAAGAGGAAAAACTTCCTACGATTATCTGGTTTGTATATGGAACCTTCTTGCGGGGTGAGAAGGGTAGGGAAGATAGAATTCCACCGAAGACAGTAATTTTCCATTAGAGCGATCTTAGTTCGTTCGGTAAATTCTTTACTGAGGAAGAAAAAGGTGGAGAGTCAGAAAAGTAAATTCCATACGGACCCACAATTGGGGAAAAGTCTTTCCATCATTTAAACTTGCTGTCATTAAGTCTCCAGAGGTCTCTTTTGCAAGTCGGCAGAGGGAGCCATTCTCCAAGAAATCTCCGGCGGGCCTCCCAGAAGGTCGGGGGGGACTTTCTGGTGGATCTAGGGAGTTCTCTCCTCCCTGCCTCAGTAAAACAGACTCCCTCAATGCTTCCTCCCTCCCAGCTCTTCGCCACACCTTCCCAATCGCTAGGTTGCTACACCGCACGGTTCAGCACGGCTACCCCACCTACAGCCTTTCTACGTCCCACATTAGCGCCGGGTTCCTGGCACCGCTGGGAACTTGCGTCCTCTCAGATGGCCCCCCTCGGATGCTTTTCCGAGCCCATCAAGTCCTCAGAGAGAGTATAGAACAGCTCCGGCGGACTTCAAAACCCTCCGGCACGCTCGCGGGCACTCTTTCCGCCATCCCTTGTTTCACCCCTTCGGAGATCCTACGATTTGCCAACTTCGTGGCCAAACTGTTGCCAGGGTCACTCGGAACGGTGGAAGCCTCTCCGTTCAGAGGTGACCTGAGATCAGGGCGTAGTAATCTTCAGGGGAGGATCCTACCAAATGTAGTAGGGACTGGCGCGCGCGGCGCCAAGCGAACCCCCCTCTGTCCCAGCGGTCACTGGCCGGGTGGCAGCAGCTGCTGCAGCCGCAACTGCTCGAGTCCCTGCCGCGGCTCGGGTTTCCTCCCTCCTCCAGCATCTAGGGACAGACGGGTGAAAACCTTGCTCAAGTTAGCTGCAAGTACTTTCTTTATACTTAAAACTGGGGGTCTGGAGACGCATTGGGACTTATCTCCTTTCCCGCGTCTCTGCCTTTGAGCCTGAACCAACACCGCTAAGTATCCCACTTCTGGGACGCTGTTCGGAAGCTAACGGCGCTATTTGGAACAGAATTTGTTTCTCAGCTGGCTTTCGTAAAAATTCGGAGAAAGGGTTGCGCTGTGAATCTCAGGATCTCGGGACCGGGGTAAGAGTTGGGCAAATTCAGTTCTGGCATCCACTGTACCTTGTCGGGACCCTGTTTTCTTATGGATGGGAAGTATTGCAGTACCCCTGTCCAGCACGAGTTGGGGGAGAAATGGACTCTGTCTGGGTTGTTTATATGTTTATAAGGGTTTATTGTTTGTTTGCATTTGGTCTTATTTGGGCCTATGTGTGGGAACTTCTTGGAGTAATTTTCGTGGAGAAGACACTCTCCCTAGGTGTTTTATTTTCTTTAACCTCTTTTCATGCATTGCCTTGTCTGGATTTGTTTTATGTGGATGGGTGTCATATCTGCCTGTAGGGTGGGGGTGGGGAATGAGACTGGGAATGAAAACTAGTTTCACTGGGTTCTCCTTCCAGATTAGCTTTAGTTCTTTGCTTGGGATTTAAGCTTGTTTTCTAAACTTTTTTTTCCCTCCTGTACTTGATATTCAGGTTGTGCAGATAGCTCATCAGACAACTTGAAGATGCTCTCTCTTTTCTGTGTTCTCAGGGTCTTGTAGGACATGTCCTAGTAAAAGGCTAGTTATTTATACCAGAGTGGTCTCTTCCTGGTTGAAATTGCTGGCTCCTGGGGCACTGTTGAAAGGGGTGGCCTTCAAGCCATAGTTAGAAAGATCTGGCTCCTATTGGTATTTTTTTCTTTAATTCTTTAGGACCTTTCCTCCTGGTTTAGGAAAATATTTGTCCTTATTTTTCTAAGATAAGTAACAGTGATACCACTGAGTAAATGAAGTATAGTGCTATCTTTGATATTTCCTTGGAAAAGACCCTCACATGAGGATCCAAATTTTGGGGCGAAAGTTAAAGTTTGGGATTTTATTAGTCCAGACGTTCTTAGTTGCAAAAGCCATCCCAAGGTACAGGGTAATGATGCACCTCTCTAGTTTTCCTTTATGTCCTGATTTTTACTTTGTGTATGGTCTTTACTACTGAAGATGCCTTACTCTTCATTTTGCCCCCAAAATTGCTGTGTTTTGCCATTACTGGTTTAAATTACTGGTTTAAGTCAGCTTAGGGGACTTTTTGTTTGCTGCTGTTCTATCAAAGAATTCAGTAGAGGGGAAGCTGTGGGAACTGGTGGCCCCAGCTCAACTTGACTCTGCCTCTCTCTGGTTGTGCAACTTGGGACAAGCTACTTAATTTTTCTCTTTTCATCTATAAAATCAAACCTTAAAATCAAAGATTAAAGATTAAGACTTAATCTTTAGCAGTGTTTACATGGCAGGGTTGTAAAGGATTAAGTGAGTTAATATGTGGAATACTAACTAGCCTGGCAGATAGGAAGCACATAAATATTAGCTGTTATTATCATTGTTATAACTGTTATTAAACTAACATTGTTAACTATTATTGATGGCTGTAAGATAACTTTTATCACCTATCAATAGGTGCTTCCTGTTATTCCTACTTGGATGGTCTGTGAAGGCTGCACTCAGTGGCTTCACTCCTGCCTAGGATGTGATGTATTGTCAAAGGTTGCTCAGACTTGACTTTTGTATTGCTTTCTGCTGGTGCTCTTTCAGAGGAAAAATTGGTACATGGGACAGAGCTGGACTTTGTAGAAGAGGGTGCTGGGGATAAGCTAGCAGGGGGATAACTAAACTCAGTGTACAACTTGTATACTGTCATAGAAACTTCTTTCAATAATATACTTCTTTAATTTTTAAGGGGTTGATTGTTCCATAAATACTCATTTGGCATGAATTACATACATTTCAGGTACTATTCTACTTTATTTAAGTTCATTCAACTCTTTTTTTTTTTTAATGATTTATTTATTCATACAGAACTGGGGTACAGGCCAGAGATGCAGAGGGTGAGAGGATTCACCAGAGACAGAGTGGGGAGCAGAACAGGCAGATCGAGGAAGTACACTGCTGAGGGGAGCAGTGGGCGGGTCAGGAGAGGCCTGCCACGCCATGTGGTCACCTCCGGGGCAGGCAGGAATCGAACTCATGCCGAAGTGGCTTTAGCTTCTCAGTGCTGTGCTTCAACCCGCTGCGCCACCAAGGAGGGCCCATTCAACTCTTTTAAGAAAGGATATGCATGAGTATTTGCTCTATGTTTTCTCTACCCCACCATTTTAAGCATTGTAGGATTTTATGTGATACTAACACTCTATAGATTAAAAAAATTAAAACCCAAATGCATTTTAGCTATAATGATTTTAATATCTGTTGAAATGAAATGCATATATTCTTGAGGATATTATGCAAAATAATCAGTAATCTCTAACAAGTTCCATCAACTTCTTCATGTGAGACTTGTGTTGGGAGGTAGTGCAAGAGCAGGATAGTCTTGTGTTCCTTCTGTCTCTAAAATCTTTCATTAATTATCTTGCCTCTTTGGTGGTTGTTTTAAAGCCATTTTTTTTTAACTTTTAATACTGTTTAGGTACATAAATTATGTCATCTCCACCATGCATGTTAAACAAAGTGAGGGAAAACACTAATCATTAATAAAAAAGGAAAAGCATTTAGTTCTGCATGTATTCATCACTTATTCTCAGACTATGGTGTATATCAGAAAATATTAAAATGTTTACATTTTTAACATACTTAAAATGCTGATTTCATATAGTGCAACCTAATGTAAATCTTAGTCCCCTCCACTTTGTCTCAGATGTAGTAAGTCTGCACTTTCAGAAGTTGTCGTGGTGATTCTAATGCAAACCCAAGTTACATGCTCATTTAGTACAAATCTGATCATGTCATTCCCTTGTTTAAAAATATTTACTGATTCTCCAGATGAGGGACATCAGTGTCTTCTGGGTGCTTATTCCAGGACTTAAGCGCCAGAAATCTGCATTTGAGCACTCGACCCCCTGTAGAGGTGATCACAGATTACATTTGAAGAAACACAATTTTTATACCACAAAACTTGAACTCTAGCATCATCTATTAAACCTATCTGGATTTTTGTTTGTTTGTTTCTCAGACTGCTGTTTCTTGAGGAATGCACCATTGGTTTCACTCCTTCCTGACCTAGAAGGTTGTGTTGTTTCCTATATAGAAACATCTTTGTTCCTCTTGTCTGTCTAATCAGCTACTTAATATCCATTTTTCCTTTAAGATGTAGTTCAAATAAGACCTTCCCTCTGAAGTTTTTCCTAATTCTCTCACATAAGCTTAGTGATGCCTCAAGTGATTCCAGTCTTTCTTTGGTAACTTCAATTGCCATCCACCATATTGTATTATCTGTGTTTATTATCTGGATAGCTTTTTTTTTTTTTTAAAGATTTATTTATTTGTACATACAGAACTGGGGTACAGGCCAGAGGCTCAGGGGCGGTGAGAGGCTTCACCAGAGACAGAGTGGGGAGCAGAACAGGCAGATCTACGAAGTACACTGCTGAGAGGAGCAGCGGGCGGGTCAGGAGAGGTCTGCCATGCCATGTGGTCACCTCTGGGGCAAGCAGGAATCGAACTCATGCGGAAGTGGCTTTAACCTGCTGCGCCACCAGGGAGGGATTTATCTGGATAGTTTTCCAGTGGATTGCTAAACTCACCATTCCTTACTTTAAGTCTTCCCTCCCAGTAGTTACATATTAAGTCCCTAATATTGTGTGGAAGAAAAATGAGTAAGAAATGAGTAAATATCAGTTGATATTCTTTATTTTTTTTAGCACACCAGGTATTTGGGATAGTTATTAAATATGTCCTAAAGGCTATAGAGAAACCAGTCAAGAAATTATAATTTGGAGGACATAGTCTGCAAAGTTAATACTGTGGAGTGGGAAAAAAAACAACACAGAATATTTTAAAACTTATGAAAAACTAGTAGTCACTGAATTGACATTTCATGTCCATACAACACTTTTGAAGTAGTTTTGGTTGTGAATGATAGTGTCAGGGCACTAGAATGGAAGTGCTGGTGCCAAAAGACTAACTAATTTTTGCCCTGTGCCTTCAGTTTAGATATGCTTTTGCATTTATTTTTGTATTTGATCAGAAATGTGGTGACCAGACCAATATTGTTTTTTGCTAATACAGTCTGCATTCCTAAAAATAGGTCGAAAGACTGTGCAAAGTCCTCCATGGTAGAAAGTTTACTGGTCCTAGAGACCCAAATATATCGTAAGTTTTCTAATAATATCCTGTCATTTTGACATGTTACACATCATATACTCTCTTTAAATTTTTTTCTTTCTTTAAACTTCATATAATTTCCATCTTTTCCTCTTCATTTAAGTAACAGTTGACCTGTTCAAAGATGAATGTCTGATTCAGTCTAAAGATTTGCCACTTTTTGCAAAACTTCTACCTTTGTCTCATTTATATTAAGTTTATGAGACAAAAAATTGTAATCACTATTAATGTTTCAATTTTTCTATTTCTTATGCAATAACCTTATAACAAGTGAATGACAAAGTAATGACAAGGATGGGGATGCTGCAAAAATTGAACTTTTAGCCCTTGGGAAGCTCCATAAAATAAACAACAAAAATGTTCATTGATAGGCTCATGTAAGAGAGAATTTCAGTGATAACATAGTTGGAAAGTAGCAGCACCAACATATAAAGTACAAAATGGCCTGGTTTTCTGAACTTCAAAGGAAGCATTATTAGAAAGTGTCTGATAAATTTCTCAAGGATATATTCTTGAGGAACATAATTTTTGGTCTAAAAATTAGTTTAACTTTAAGAATAAACATAGGTTTCAGTTAGTTCTGTTGATTTGTCTCATTTTTCAATTTTATTTCCAAAATGAACTTTTTCTTCTTTAGTTAAGTTATAATGCTTTGCAGTTCTATAAACTTCTTCATTAGTATCCTAGTGTTTTCACTCATTCCTCTATCTGGATTTCTCAAGATTTTGCACTTATCACTTGTCTCTTTTTCACAATTTAATATTGTATTTTACTGTGATCAATCTCTTTTTAAAAGTGAATATGGCAGAGAATTGCTTTATAGCACTAAATAAGAGGATTTGTCATGTGAGGAGAAAAAAGATAAAAGTCAATGTTATTTTACTTAATATAA